TTTGTTTGTCGTTCTACTGTGATTTTATGCACACTTTGGACTAATTAGATAGCGACTTACAACTTAACGTGGATTCCGAACCAGTCACAAACATTCATGCCACTGCTAGGGTTCGAACCTGAAGTCTGTGTTACCAATGGCTAGAGCGCTAGCCAATTGGCCATCAGACCGCAATAAATATGATAGAATCAAATTTAATAACCAAGCTAAAATCTCTTTCACAAATTCTACAAGAAAATTTTACAAAAATAGCGATCGATATATAAAAATATTTTAGTAACTATTTAAATTCCATCAATCTTTCAACGAAAAAATTAAAATAAGTTCATTCGCATACGTGTGTTAAATATATGAATAATTTTATGTCTAGCTTTTGATTAAATGGACTATTTATAAAACTTATTTACTTGTTTCACTTACAGGTTTGGAAGTCCAAATTCACATTTTTTTGGAAACAAAATTCAACTTTTTACAAATCAAATTCCTCTTTTTTGGAATCAAATTCACTTTTTTGCACTTCAAATTAAGGATGCATTTCCATAGGCAACGCGACATCAACTTTGACGAATAAGGTTAGCTGTCGAGAATGATTGAAAATAGAGTGAATGATTCACTGCTGTCAATCATTCACAATAACTAATCTGAATCGTCAAAATTGACATCGCGTTGCCAATAGAAATGTACACTAATATTTTTTGCAAATTAAATTCACCCCTCTCAAAATTAGCCTTTTTTTTATGTTACTATAGTACATACGTATGTTTATAAAGACTTTGTATATATGTACATCTAAGTATATATTACTCTAGAAAGTAATACATATTTACAGGTATGGATAAAGATGTATGCTAAATACGCACGAAGGTATGCATATGTTAATGTATTTGTATATATTACGTACGCGGTTAGCCGGGAGTATGCATGAGTATTGCGAGTGTATATGAAGGCTTATATGTGTATGTTTTTGCGTGTATAATGTCAATGTGCCAGTATGAGCTCGTTTGCGCGCGGTACATATATATACACACAAACATCCATACATACGTAAACACATACACACACAAAAACATATGCACACATTTAAATATGCATAAATACATACGTACTCGTGTAAACCTGCTAATGCACACACCACACGCGTAAACCTGCTTATGCACACGATACAAGCAGACATACACATGTATACACACCCGTGCATATACAGATATGCACGCACAAACATGCCTATATAAATGATATCCACATCTGGTAAGCGTGAACTTACCTACAGCATAGCATACATGCATAAGTAAATATGTACGTGAAGCTGTGAGTGTATACATAATCATGCTTATAGGGAAAAAAAAAAGATTAAAGTATGCGTACCCTCTTGCATATTTAAGCATACATTTTTACCCATCACTACTGAGAAATACATGTTTAAATGTATATATGCATATACATCTTTAGAAATATAAATATGTACAAATATTAACATAAAAATAAAACCCTAATTTTGAGAATGGGAATTTGATTTGCAAAAAGATGAATTTGGATTGCCAAACCTGTACAACACAAATTTCATATATTTTAAGATTTAAAATTTCGTAATAGATTTATGTTTGTATGGATGTTCGTTCTCATATGGATTTAATATTAAATTTTTTATAAAAACCATTGCCATCGACAATTTTCCTGAATAAGTTATTTTAGAATAATCAATCCATCACTTTGTTTTTAAATTTTGATTATGATTTCCCGAGTTGATCCATCTATAAAATTATATTCTATGATAACATAAACTATGAATTACAATTAATTTCGTTGGAACAATTATTGAATTTATATGATTTCGAGTAAACCATGCATCTATAAAATGTCTAATTATCTCCTAATTATGATAAATAAAACCATAAGAATGAATATTTAATTTTATAATTATTAATTCGTGAAAGAAATTTAAAAAATAAAAACAAACAAACTAATAAGAAACGCTGAAAGTGGTCAGTCTACTTTTAATTTTTTTAATATTTTATCTTTGACCTACTTTATCCAAAAAGATATCCATATATTTTATGGGTAATAATATTTACTGAAAATCCAGATGTAATAACTTATTGCATGCAATAGTTTTAACACCGTCAGCAGATTAATTGGTAATCACATTTAATTTAAGATTTTTATTTTATCTCAGTTAACTGTATGGGAATTTTATACTTATATCTGAATATTTTTTTAAAAATATACACTGAATTTAAAGACAATAGTTTAATACTGCAATAAAATTAAAAATAAAACAGAAAACAGCAATAGAAAGTAGCTTAGCTTCATAATTTTCTTCCTTCGTTCTGCAGTATAGTTGCGCCATCTATACTCAAATTTATGCAACAATAATAAATTTATCTCTGCACAATAATTGAAAATGAAAAAAATATATTAAGAAATTGTATATTTAATTATTATAAAAAAAATTATGTATTGCATTGTTAATTTTTGTTATAAATAACAATATAAAAAAAGATATAACATAATCTAAAATACATTATTTAATACATAAACAAGAAAATCATGCTGCCATCTTTAGTTGCTAAAAGAAACTAATTTAACATTCTAAATTAAAAGATGCTTGCAATTGTATGTATTATTGCCAATATTATTATTATTAGCATAAAAATTCATGTTGTTTTTTTATGCTTTTTTTGGTGGCTGCTTTTTTTATCTACATCTAAAGTGTGAAAAAAGTTTAAGAAATATTCAACGTTCACAAATCTGCTTACTAATCATTTTGTGTTTGAAAACGAAATAATAATGATAATGATATAATTGACTAGTCCAATATACAAGTTACCCATAAAACTATTTAATAGTTACTCAAGCAAGAAAAGAAAATTTAAAAAAAATATTGGAGAAGAAGTATAAATGTTTAATTATATAATTATTAGCTCGTGAAAGAAATTAAAATCAAAAATAATAAGCCTATAAGAAACTTTGAAAGGGGTCCAGGACATCGTTGAACTACTCTCCAAAAAATAATACCCATATATTTTCTGGGTAATTATTAAGTAATCATTAATAATAATTATTATTAAATAATTTAAAAAAAGTATGTTATCTAGAACAAATTATTGCCTTTTTTCACATTTTTAATTTCCTCATCATTAAATATTTTTAAATATCAATGAATTGTCCTTCTTGTTTTTAGAAGAATAGAATAACTTGTTTCAGAAGAACTATAACAAGTTATAGAACTAGTTAGAAGAACTATAAAAGTTACATAAGAACTTGTTATTCCAATTTAATAAAACTGGCCCTGTTGCCCCTAGACTATTAAGTTATGAAAAAAAAAAAATATCATTCTTTTAATAAGTATAGAAAAAAAAATTCTTTTTAAAACTATAAAATTATTTAGAACATTATTATCTAGGATATGCAAGGTTTATAAATTGCTTTCATAATTTATGTTATAATAAAATAATTTTCTTGTAAAGCAATTTCTACTTATTTTTATGTATATTTATTTTCGAAAAAGTATGGTTCCCATAAATATAGTTAATTTTGAGTGCATGCACCAAATTATCTTTCCTGCAGTTCAACTGTCTTGAAATTTAAAAAAAAAAATGCACGATGTTCTGAAAGTGTAGCATAATGAGTAATCTTATTATAAAAGAAAAACATAGTTAATTGAAGAAAAGAAATAAAACAAAAAGCAGGTTCCACCGAGATTTGAACTCGGATCGCTGGATTCAGAGTCCAGAGTGCTAACCATTACACCATGGAACCCAACTTCCCATGCCGGGAATCGAACCCGGGCCGCCTGGGTGAAAGCCAGGAATCCTAACCACTAGACCACATGGGAGATATTAACTGCTGTTTGCTTATTGAATAGTCTCCTGCCGTATTCTATTTTTGTTTTGATTTAAATTATTCTTAACATCGATTGTTTAGAAATTGTGCAAAGTTTCGAATACTAATATTTTAACAAGAAAAAAAAAAATCTATTTCTTCATAGATGAAATAAAATACAAATATAACATATAGAAAACTGCTTAATGCATATTCTTGTTGCTTTCCCTTTTCTTCTTTTGTAATAGATTTTTTTTTATTACTTAAACAATTTTGACAAATTATATTACTTGCATTTTACCATGCATCGTAAGGAAATTTTTTTTTCATTTAACCCATTGATTACAAACAAAATGTTTATCACTGTTTCATTTAAAAAATTAGATTATTAATTAGTTTTTCCAATTACTCTAGTTTTCCATACAAATTTTCCGATTTTAAGCTTGGATCGTGTTTTAATTTAAATATTAATTTTATAATTTACTATTTAAAATATAATATATTCGTTTTCATGATTTACAGACGATTATTTTACTAGTTATTTATTTGTTTATCATTTAAAAGATTTTGTTTTTATTCCAACAATAAAAAAATGAATTTTTAAAAATCACAATGATCTCAATAATAAATATATCCTGAAAAATGTAAAACTTTAATAAACTTATTTATTATTTTCAGTAATTTACTGCATGCAATTGCTTCTCTTCTACATTTTGAACCTACAGTGATAATAGCCAAAAAAATTCGTTACTTATATTTTGGCAAACGATTTTACTCCGGATTTTTTTTTTCTAATGAAACGAACTACAATACCAGGCATCTGTCCACACATACTTCTGAACAAGCACACTTTTCTGGGTTTTTTTTTTTTTTTTTTTTTTTTTTTTTTGTGAATTTGTTGTTGTTTGTTGTTTCTTATCCCACTTGGCTGGCCAAGTCCACGAGCCCATACGTACTCATGATTGAAGGGGAAGGAAGCAGCTTCTGTTGTGATGGAGCACCCGTAGGTAGAAGCCTGACTTTTGCTCCGTGACGCTCTTACAGTCATAGAAGACCGGGACCTACGGCTTAAAATGGATTCCGAACCACTACAAACATCCATGGCACCGCCGGGATTCGAACCCGAAACCTGTGGCACCGAGCGCCAGACACTCGGCCATTCAGGTCCCAAATTTGCCAACGGCACGCGGTGTTCCCAGGTGGTCACCCACCCAAGTACTGACCGCGCCCAATGATGCTTGACTTCTGTGATCTAACGAGAACCGGTATATTCAGCATGGTACGGCCATTGGCTTTGTGAATTTAAATAAATAATGCTATCAATACAAAAACACAATTATTACACATTTACTGACAGAACAAAATTTAACACTTGAATAATAATTTATGACTTTATGTAGCTCTGATTTTATATATAAATTATTTTAATTTATACTATCGAAAAAAAAAAAAAAAAAATCAAACGATCTAAAAAAAATCATTAAATGGAAATTTAAATTGTAAATAAAAGTGTATTTTAATTAAAAAAATACCTAGCTTTTAGATTTAAAATATTTTATATTCTTATATTGTATCTGAACCTAAATATTTGCAAAGTTAAGTTAAAAGAATTAAAAAAATTTGATAGACAAACATTTTTAAATTTATTTTTATTTAAATAAATTAAACAATTATTTCTATTAAATTGTAATTATTAAATAAAAATATTAAATTAAATAAATTAAAAAAATTATTATTACTGTTATTAAATTTTTTTTTCATTTTACTAATATGAAAAATGAAAATTTATTTATTTATTTTTTATTTCCACATCATTTTATAAAAAAATGGTCACTTTATGAAACAAAAACATGTTTTCCAACCAAAATTATCTAATAAATAGTTTCAAACTTTGTTAAAATCGCAATTAATATAATCAAGGTTCAATGTTTTCTTTATATATTTGAATTTCATATTTCTGCATGGATTAAAAATAGCAATACATTAAACATAAAACGTCTCTTATTTTAAGGGTAGTAATATTAAATTCATACTTTTATATAAAGGCATTTCTCTTCGTATAAGGCAAAATTATTTAATTTATTTCCCAGTCACATATTAAAAGATATTTTAACGATGCAGTCGATAACTAAACTGTATTACGAACTGATACCCTCGTTAGTTTTTACTCATTTAAACTTAATTCAAGGAGAAAGTCAAAATAGTTACTAAATGTCTGAACGCTTACTGCATAAAGAAATTAATAGGACATATTTGTTCTTTCCAGTGTTAAATAATAATTTTTAAGATGCTTTTAAAACTGCTTGTTCGATAGCTCACACAAGAAACAAACTCCAATAAATACTCGACACAGTGGATAATAATAATAATGAACTGTAAATAATTAATCTCCTTTATTTAGGCAGCCATCAAACTCGAAGATGAACTGACCACACAACCTCTCTCTGGGGTTACACTTATTGAACTCATTTATTTATGCAGCCATCGCACTCATGGATGGACTGCCACACGCAACCTTTCTCGTTGGTTACAGAAGTTCAACTCTTTTAATTATGCAGCCATCATGCTCGGAGATGCACTGCTACACGACCTCTCTTTGGTCGCAGTTGCTCAACTCTTTTATTTATGCAGCCATCGCACTCATGGATGGACTGCCACGCGCAACCTTTCTCGTTGGTTACAGAAGTTCAACTCTTTTAATTATGCAGCCATCATGCTCGGAGATGCACTGCTACACGACCTCTCTCTTTGGTCGCAGTTGCTCAACTCTTTTATTTATGCAGCCATCGCACTCATGGATGGACTGCCACACGCAACCTTTCTCATTGGTTACAGAAGTTCAACTCTTTTAATTATGCAGCCATCATGCTCGGAGATGCACTGCTACACGACCTCTCTCTTTGGTCGCAGTTGCTCAACTCTTTTATTTATGCAGCCATCGCGCTCGAGGATCGACTGCCACACAACCATTCTCTTTGGTCGCTGAGTTTCAACTCATTTTACTTACATTCCTTCTTTCTCTCCCTGGCCCTCACCCCCGCCAGACACCCCCACAGACAGGATGTTTTTTTGGACATAGGGCGTTGACCTCCCCTAAGCAGGGGAACCTGGGTTTCGACGTAACACTGCTAATTAATATGTTAAAATATTAAATCAATTATTTAAAATTTTAATTAATTGTATGGTATAAAAAATGGCGTGCAGAGATAAGCATCTTCTTAATATGTTCCAGTTCCCTCTAATCTGCCAATACTTTTCGGTGTTACAGCCACCATGGCTTGGCGGTAGAGGAAAATAGGAATGGGATTATAGTTTCAGTGGTTCAATGAGACATCTTGGATAGCGCTGTATCTGTTATAAATCGCGGCCTGGTGGCCAAGTGGCTAGCACTCTGGCCTTTGATATCCCAGCCTTCTGGTTCGGAACCTGGCAGCGGCATAGATGTTTGTGAGTAGTTCAGAATCCACTTTAAACTGTAGGTCCCGATCTGTTTAGCCCTCGTGTGCACAAAATGACCGTAGAGTGGCAAAACAAACTGTCATAAATCTGCCGTATGAGTGGTCAGCAACTTTACGTCAAATGTCTGACATTAAAATATATGTATATATTGTTGACAAGGGCCTGAAGGCCGAGTGACTATAGCTCTCCCGGCGGTGCTTTGGATGTTTGTAGTAATTCACTTTAAACCGTAGGTCCCGGCCTAATAGGACTGTAGAGCGTTGGGCGTAGGGCATAGAGCAAATAACCTATCCCGTAAAACGAAAACATCTCTCGTCTCGAAATCTGCCAGTAGGCAGACGGTGTTTTCCCACCATGGGGCTGCTGCGCCACTGATGATGATGATACATTATTAATAAGGGCCTGAAGGCCGAGTGGCTCTCGTTGCCACAAGTTTAAGTTTCGAGTCCTGATGAGGCCATGGATGCTTGCAGTGATTTTCAATCCACTTTAAACCGTAGGTTTCGGTTTAATATGACTGTAGAACAGAGGGCTAACAACCCTACCGTAAAAAGAAATAAACCCATCTGTCATGATCTAACATGGACTGTGTCGGGGCGTTTGTTTATTTATATTACTGATAAAAGTATTAATGAAATGATGCTTGAACTTTTAATATGAAAATGTATATATAAATCTAAAGCAAATATGAAATAAATAACTTGAAATTGAATATTAAAAAACTCATCTTAAAGCCTCTTTTGGGAAAATCCTATATGTAGTTGTATGAGTATTACACTGAAGTGACAAAAGTCATGGGATAGCAATATGCAAATTTTCAGATGGCAGTAGCATCGCGTAGAACAGGTATAAATGCGCAGTGCTTTCGCAGAACTTTCATTTCTGTTCAAGTTATTCATGTGAAGAGGTATTGACGTGAGGATGACCGCACGACGGGAATTAACAGACTTTGAACGCGGAATGTTAGTTGGAGCTAGACGCATGGGTCATGCCATTTTGGAAATCGTTAGGGAATTCAACATTCCCAGATCCACTGTGTCAAGAGTGTGCCGAGAGTATGACATTTCAGGCATAACATCCCACCATGGACAGCGCAGTGGTCGACCGCCTGCACTTAATGACCGAGACCGGCGACGTCTGCAAAGAGTCGTAAATTCTAACAGACAAGCAACACTACGTCAAATAACGTCTGTTCGTGCCCAAAATCCTGCACCATCAACGCTTTCACAATTATGGACGTCTATCGGGACAGCATGGCTCAATATTCCTGCAGAAGACTTCCAACGACTTGTTGAGTCCATGCCACGTCGAGTTGCTGCACTTCGCCGGGCGAAAGGAGGGCCGACACGATATTAAGAGGTATCCCATGACTTTTGTCACTTCAGTGTATATGGCTTTTGTACACAAATTTTTTTTGCCTGAATTGAAACGAAAAGCATTGTTATAGAAAGTTTTGATTGAAGTACTCCCGATTTATCGTGGCCCCAGTTATTTTGTAATTATAAGTAAAAAACACTGAAAAATAAAATAATAAACATTTCTTCTTTTATTATAAAGATTTCAATAATCAACATCATAATTTAATTATAGTATTCAAATAATAACCTATTACACAATTTTTAATACTCAATTAAGAGACAATAATTAATTTATTATGAAAATTTTAAAATAAAAGCAACAACAAAACATAAAATCATAAGTATTTCATAAAAATATGATACATTTTTCCTATTGAAAAAATGTTAGAAATCTTAAAAATATATTTTTTTAATAGATCTGGGATTTTATGTTCCCTTCCTTTAGTAATTCATGAACAATTCCTCAAAAAATTTCTAAATTTAAATTAAAAGTTCTGCTCTTCTTAATTTCATCTGAAAAATTGCATTTATAAAATAAATTGTTCCGGTATTAAAAATATCATCTATTTATTAATAAATTATCTAGAAGATAAGTTCTTTATTGAAAACAGAGATTTGATAACAAAGAACTTTTATGACAAAGTATAATGTGAAATTAAATTCAATTTTATTTGAGTTTTATCCAAAATAAATAATCAAATTATTAAAATAAAATTTCTTTTTAGATACAACTCTCTCATTAAAAGAATGATTATGCTAAATGAAAGATTTTTATGTCAATTTTATTTTCGCCATAAAGATTTTTATGGCGATTTTTATGGAGATCAGAAACACCAAATTCACATATGAAACAGATTTTTATAATGAGAAATACCAAATTCAAATATGGAACAGATTTTTATAATGAGAAATACCAAATTCAAATATGGAACAGATTTGTTATAATGTGAAATACCAAATTCAAATACGAAACAGATCTTTATAATGAGAATTACCAAATTCAAATATGAAACAGATTTTTATAATGATAAATTACCAAATTCAAATATGAAACAGAATTTTATATTGAGTAATACCAAATTCAAATATGAAATAGATTTTTTATCTTGAGTAATACCAAATTCAAATATGAAACAGGTTTGTTATAATGAGAAATATACCAAATTCAAACATGAAACTGATTTGTTATAATGAGAAATATACCAAATTCAACATGAAACAGATTTGTTATAATGAGAAATATATCAAATTCAAATATGAAACAGATTTGTTATAATGAGAAATATATCAAATTCAAATATGAAACAGATTTGTCATAATGAGAAATATACCAAATTCAAATATGAAACAAATTTATTATAATGAGAAATATACCAAATTCAAACATGAGACAGATTTGTTATAATGAGAAATATACCAAATTCAAATATGAAACAGATTTGTTATAATGAGAAATATACCAAATTCTAACA